CTCTGTTGGCACCTTATTTATTCGAATGTGAATTACAGGTAAGAACAAATTTTTTATTATCACCGTATTCAGTTGAACTTTTGATGGATTTTTATTCGAATGGGGTGATCGTACCCCCTTTTCAGCAGCCATCCGTCCTAGTTTAAATCCTTCTTAACTGCCCCCCTTTTTTTTTAATCTTGCGGCCTATTTTGGCAATCGCCTTTCTTTTTATCTGAAATTTATTCCCGCTATAAGATGTTTTCGCTTTTTCCGCATATGGCCTTGAAAACTGTCCGTTTGGTCTTTGACCAAAACTTCTCGTACGCGTACTTTCTGCTACCCTCCTACTCTCGAATTTTACCACCAGCTCGAACATTGTTCTAGAGTGCTGGGGTTTCTTCAGTATAATCCTGAACTTGTGGCAATAGTCGAGGCAAGATAATTTGGATTAGTTCTTCGTCGGGCTTTTTACCATATAACAAATTTGCGACTTGGATCTTGCGTAAGATGAAATTCGACAACTCTTCAATTTTAAATTGGTACTTGCCGTACAATTCGGCTTCAAGCCTAGCTCTATCCCTCATAACGGGAAAAGCTTTTACTAGCGCGGCCGGCTTTAAAATTTTCGAGCGTATAAGTGGTGTTTCCAATTTCTCAATATCGAAATTTTCCAATGCCTTTAAACCAACTTAATGCCTGTCCTTGCAAGGCGGTCGTGGCTATCATGATTTTTTGTACATCAGGGACAGGATAATGTAAAAAGTGATTAACCAAAATTTCTAGGAAGCTAGTGACCAAGGTTCTTCCGTCAAATGTCACTGAGGGTTTCATGGAGGCCCTCATGGTGTCCACCAGATAACCAAAGCCTTCCATCATATTTCCAGGAGCCAGTGGGGTTTGCGATGTCGATGGAGCTAACTCAGCTGCACGTTCGTTGTTAGACATAGTTCGGAAAAATTCGGGCGCTACTTGTAAGATCTATCTCTACTTTTCCACATACACTAACTTAGATCCTACAATGAACCTGGTGAATTCTCGCACAGGTGTGAATTAAATACCAGCACAGAAGAAGGGTGCAAAATAACCCTTTATTAAATCAAACAAATTTAACAGAAAGCAGGGACTTCGTGCGTTACAAAACACCTTGCGACGGTAACTAAACGTAGACTATAATACAAATCAAATATGAAAAATAACGAGTGCAAGAACGCACGTCAAAATTGCTCCTAAGATATGGACTCACAGAAAACTAGCCGGCTTGATACTAACTGATAAGGCGAAGAGGCTTACTAGCATGACCGCGAAATAACAACGAAACGTGCGCTAGGCTAGCGAAACACGCTCTGAATAAACTTGGAACTTTGCGGTTATACTGGCTTTCAGCAGGAAATAAAATCCTGCTCTTGCCAGTTCCTGATGTGATCCCATGTGGGGCCTGACAGAGTAGAAACCTGAAAGAAATTTTCTCTCGTGGAGGTAGAAGTGTGCTGGAGAGAGAGAAAGAGTAAGAGAAGTTGTTTATTCTGCTGAGGTAGTCCTGAATAGTATCTATTTTCAAGTCGGAGTGGAGGGTCTTATTCCGAACATAGTAAGGAGCTTTTGTGATGATTCTTAGCACCTTATTTTGAAGCACTTGGAGTTTGCTAATTTCGTTTGCTTTGTAGTTTGCCCAGGATGGGGAAGCATACGTGAGAATGGGTCGGATTACAGTTTCATAAATCCTCTTTTTCAGTCTGAGGGTGAGGTTTTCATTCTTTAGGAGAGGGAAAAGCCTGAAAATGATCCCGTGTGCTTTTCCGCTTACTCTAAGCATATGATCCTTCCAATTGTAGTTCTTGTTAAGGGTAACTCCCAGGTAATTAGCTTTATCAACTGTAGGGATGATTTTGCCAAAAAGTTTAACCTCAGTTCTGACCCGTTTCCTCTGTCTGCGATTTCGAATGAGTAGAATCTTGGACTTTTCTGGCTGAATGGACGTTTTCCAGCGACTGCACCACCCCTCAATAGCAGGGATTTTGGCCCTGAATTCTTGACAAGGCATACTCTGGGTTTAGAGACTTGGTGGCTATCGCTGTATCATCAGCGTAGCTGGCTGCGAGAACATTTGTATCCTCGGAAAAGCATGGGAAATCGTTGGTATAGATGATATAAAAAAGCGGGCCTAAAATTGACCCTTGAGGAATACCTGCGTAAATATTTTTGACACATGAAGCTGCATATAGGTTAGCCCTGGATGCCAGACGCGGTCAAAAGCCTTTGCCACGTCTAGCATCAGGATAGCAACACTCATTCTGTTGTGCATAGCCGCGCCGATGAACTCCGTGAGCTTGACTAACTGCGTTGTGGTCGAAAGTCCTTTCCGGAAACCGTGCTGGTGATCAACGAGAAAGTCCAAGTTTTCTTGCATTCTGAGATAAATAATACGTTCCAGGATCTTGCTTATGGAGGACAGCAGGCTGATGGGGCTAAAGTTTGCCGGGTAATCCTGTGTTTTCCCTGGCTTAGGAATCATCAGGATGCTTGCTTGCTTCCAGAAAAGCGGGAAATAATTTTGATACAAACATGCATTGAGAATGCCTGTTAATTTGCATACGGTCTTAAAAGGCATGTTTTTCAGCATCTGGTTCGTGATGTTGTCCTTTCCTGGAGCTTTCTTTAAGTCCCTTAATAATGTTCTGCACTTCGTGCGGCGTGGTTAGTTTGATAGAAGGTTCCGTAGAAGGGGAGTGCAGCCATTGATCGTTCAGGTAATGAACTTGAATCTGAATAAACTGAGATAAACACACGTTTAAATACCACTTCACTTAACTTTAAATTTACATCCTGGTGAGAGAATGGGAGGGGAAGTTGAGAAGTTGAGAACAGGAAAACTTAAAATAAATTTGTTATTCAAAATAAGGTAAACCCTACAACTTATAACCAGTCATAGAAACACATTCAGCTGCTAAATTTGATCATTCCTTTGAAACTTGTTAAGGGTTTGGATAAAGTAATAAATCCAAAATGAACTTTTTCAGAACTGTTGTAGCAAAAATTTGCATGTGAAGTCATGCGTTAAAAAGTTTCAAATAAATAATATTTTTCTGAGGGAATATCATTTTTAAGAATTGCAGTTAGCAAAATTTTCAAATTCATTTTATATTAAATTTCTATTGAGTACCCGCTACTGATACACCCTGTACAGAAAATACATAAAACATTGCTATTGTTAGTATCATCAGCGTTTCCCAACCAGGGTTTGCCGGCCTCCTAGTGTTCCGCGAAACATTGTTAAGGTTATAAGGTATTTCTCCCGCCTTCTTAGCGAGCTTTCGTGGTGTAGTGGTCAGCACACTCAGCGCGTAATTGAGAGGTCCATGATTCGATTTCGTTGCATATTTTTCATCTTGCCTGCTTCCAAATAAATACCTAATGTCTCTACAAGGTGTTCCTCAAATATAGGGAAATAATATGTGCAACATAAAAGGGAAAAGATTTTTTATCTGATTCGGTAATATAATCGGGTAACTTCGGTGGGAGAAAGCAGGTGTGACTGTCATAAGAGTCTAGCCGATGATGATTGAAAAGCTGCCTTTGCCTGTTCGGCTATACTCGATTAGAGTCGTCAGACATCGTCAACAGTTGTATGAATTTCTTTGTTACTTGCATTGCCAGCTCAGCTGTAAACAATAAAGTAATAGTTATGATAATAAAGAAAGAAATAAAAAGTATTTTCGCCTTATAAATGGAAGAAGGTTTACTGATTCTTTAGCAATTTTCCTTAAACTACACATTGCCATTGCACGACCACGTACCCAATACAAGTCTAATCGCTTATAGCCGAACAGCCAAAGGCAGCTTTTCAGTTGTTACGGACTAGAATCTAACATGACTGGTTATGTATGCATTAGTGATGCAAGAAGTATAGGATCATGTGGTTAGTGAAATAGAGTGCTAGTCCATATTTGTTATTTTACTATTATTTAGATTTTTTTATTTTACTATTTCGTTGATATTTTATTCGGTTTTTAGCCCAAATGGAAATGGCCGAGAAGCGCTATTAATTTCGTTTTGGCGTTTTGTGTCAAAAACTTTAAATGTCAGTTTCACTTTTCAGATTGTTGCCACCAAATATTAAAGAAATTAAATAATAAAGTATCTGCATAAATGTATGTATGTTTATCGCATTGTGATAAAACAACGGCACCTAGAGCCATTCAATTTTGAATAACATAATCCTCCACCGAATATGGGCATCTGGAAGCCCGAATTTGGATTTATTATCTATTTCATGTTTTGTGAAACTTTAACGAATTTTCGACTAACGAATTTAACGATTTCAAAGCGAGCAATAGCAACGCTGTACGCGGAAAAAATTATTTTTATATTCAATGCGCGACACTGTGTATCCGAAATTCTAAAGATGTGCTCATTTCAAAATTATTTTACGATAATGCTATTGAATTGAATTTTATGGTTTAAGTGCGAAGAATATGATATTTAATAAATAAATGTAGCACACGAAACATTAAAAAAAAAGCCCCTTTAGGCGTAATATAAAATCGTAAAGCTTACAGATTTTTTTGTTTCTTGTTTTTTAATTTTTCTGTAGATTTTAATGTTTAAAATGTGACGATACTTGAAGACAAAGAATCCAGATAATTCCAGATGAAGATTTAGAATCTCTTACAGAATTTTGAAATAGTGATAAAGAAAGAGGTGCAAAAAAATTTCTTTTGTTTTTTGTTACATGGACGCTAGAATTTGAACATTGGCATAAGAGTTCCACAATATTGAAAAGGTTGGGAAACGCTGGTCTAAATGTATATTCATCTAGTATCCTATAAACTATTTCGCTATTACACCTGGACCATTTCTATTGATAATGTCTTCGTATAAACCGAATTAAACTTTAAAGCGACAGTTGAAAATCTGAATCATTTCAGACTTTTTTAATGATAAGCTCTTAATTGACATGTTAAGCTGTAATATGTGTTCTGATTGTTGCAAGTTAATATTTTCTCCTTCTCTTTTTAAAGGGAGAGAACGAAAAGTCATCATGTGTTGCGTCTAGTCCAACTTACTTAAAACGAAAATGTGTCTTCAATGGATGGAGAAGGAAAAGAAATATATCTTGCAAATCAAAATATGTACATAGTTTCATGATATATGATTCAATAAAAAAGAACTTTTAATAGAAATACAGAATTTATAAATGAAAGCCTTTTGCGAACTGTTGAATTTGTCTGATTGATTTTAATTACATAGATATACCGTTATTGGATGTTTAAAATAAATCTGAGAAAAAATTCATGTATATTATTTATGTCATTCATTTTACATTTAGTGTCATTTTGAGATGTCATCTATACACAGACATGCATATTATTTGTAACACTTGCATTTACCAAAAATTTTTAAATAAAAGAATGTTTTAAAGTTATAAGCTTTCTCCTTTGGAATATTCATTATAACAGTCTCTGAATTTGTTAACTTGAAGCAATAATAATAATAATAATAATAATTTGATGTCTTCGAAGCAGTTGCTTTTGTAAATGCTGTCGCACACATGAAACTTTCAAAATCCCAAATGGACATTAATCGCAAATTGTTTTAATGGATGACACCCCTATGCTGTTTCAAGCAATATGTGACTTGAAATTCTAGTTGTAGTTCATGCTGTTATCTTTAAAAACCGTTTGTTTGGTGAAAGAGGAAGATAAGTTTTCTCCAAGCAGAGCGAAATTTTGTGATTGAACATTACTTCGCAACTCATTTTTACGGAAAACTTGTTGAGTGTTTATAAATTCCGAAGTATTCTTGAGCTTAACAAGACAATTATTTTCTGTCTAAAAGCCTGATTTCAAGCAACTGGAAACGTGCACCATAAAAAAAAAAGTGCCTGTCCGTTTCTTCTAAGTTCGGTCTAAATGGACGAAGTCAGAAATAAAATATTGCAATCGCTAACTGCGAGTAAGAGAAAGATGTCATCGTAATCAAATTTACGCATCGCGAAGTAAATAACTCGTTCATAAAAATTCATTCTGCTTGGGAAATACTCATCTCCATCTCGCACCAAAGAAATGTTTTTTAAAGCTTATAGCATAAATTTCAACTAATATTTTACTTATAAAACTGTGTAACTATGCGATCCATTGAAGCAGTTTGTCACTGATATCCAATTTGGAATTTCCACATATTTTTTAAATTGCATGTGCTGGACTCTTGGATCATTCTGTATCAGGTGATTACTCTATTTTTTTAAACAATAATTTACACGCACTTAAAGTATTTATATTAGGTTTACAATTATCTGATTCTAAGACATACAGGGTGATTATAATTAAAGTTGCGATTTCAGAACGCTCTAACTTTAAAACCTACCAGTCGGAATGACTTAATATTTTACCAGAACGATCGTGAGTTAATGGAATTTTATTCGATGAAGGGAAAAAATAGTTTCAAAATGTACCGATAGATGGCGTTGTCAGGGTTCACATGGCTGTTGTGGAGGTAAGCACAGTCCTAAGACTTGACATGCGCACCACAGACATAGCTGTGATAAAAATGCAGAACACTAGCGGAACACGAACTTTGCCTGAATGCTTCATCATGACTGACAAAAAAAGGATCGCACTCTGCTTGTGAAGCTGTTCTATCAGAACGATGACTCTGCGTTAACAACTATCAGGATGTTCTGGGCGATAAAAGGCATAAATCCGGCCCCATGAACACTCTATCGGGAATTCTAAAGGTATGCTGTTTTTAAATATATTGTGATTTTGCTGCTGAATTGAATTTTAGGTGGAGTAGATGCAAAGAGTTTTATATTTAATAAATAAAATCAGCACACTAAAAGTTAATCATCAAAAGATTAAAAAAAAAAAAGGTTTTTGTTAGCCATCTTACTAAGAAAACTGAGCATTGATATGCTAAACTGAGAAAAGACTGATAAAAACAGTAAATTATATGCCAACAATTAACATGGCATCGGAATTTTAAAATATGCTGCTATGCAGCTTTTAAAAATTTTGTGATTTTACTGTTGAATTGAATGGGCGTAAGTACGAAGAAAAAGGGGGTTGGCAGGAGTGAGTGCAAGAGCAGAGTGATAGACTCAGCGAGAACGAAAATAAAATACGAATAGTTACCTTAACAAACCGTTTGGGACATCCTGTTAAAATCTCAAACCTTCCAGGTTGTTTTTAATATATTGATTCCAAAGCTGACCTTTACTTATCTTTACCTTTCAGCTTGACCTTTACTTTTCATCTGCAAGATAAAGTTTTACAGAGGCTGTTCGCACATTTTTAAACGATGTTCATTATAATTACAGAAATATTATACGTAAAATTTTTACATTTTAAATATTCCGTTTGATAACCCTTATTCTTCGTTATCTTTATACACCGTAATTTCAAGAACAATAAAGCCTTTTATAGTAGCGGAAGAGGTATTTTAGGCCATTGCTCTCGAACAGCTTTCCAAAGTCTTTAGGAGGTTGTACGTCGACGTTTGGACAGCCCGCTTTTTGAAAGTCCAGAAGCGCAAAAATACATTGGTGATAGATCAGGAGATTTAGTAGGGATATAAATGAAGGCCTTGCTACCTGTTTCTTGTTCCATTTTTTTCCGGGAAATTAACAGTAGATTTTGACATGTTACTGCTTGCTTTGTCTTGATGCTGTTCTACTGATTGATCACACTATGTGTAAAGAGAAGGTATTTCATATTTGAGAATTGGGAATAAAATATGTTTTTGATAATATGGAGACTTGATCTTAACACTTTCTTCACTATCTTTATTTTTGATTTGCCGTTATATAAAAAACTAGCAACAATCATAAAATCCATTAGAAAAACTTTTAGATTACTTGGCCATGTTTGAAGATTTTTTTTCCTCCTCTTTGATTATAATAAATGGATCTCTTTTTATTGCAGTCATTTAAGTACACCCAACATTCGTCTACTGTGACAACACTTTCCCATTTTTATCCGGATAAGTGTTTCTCATAAGAAATTTTGGGTTCGGCGATATGTCGTGGAGAAAGACGATGCACATTACGTTTTTTTCATCGTTTTTTCATGACTTGGTGGATTTTCTTTTAACTTAAAGATCTTACTTTTGCAACATTCGAAGCCTTCCGTTTTTTAACTTGAATATATATTTGGAACAATTTTTGCACTTGAAGCTAAATTCTGGCCTTTTTTTTTCCCCTTTGTTGTTGACGACATTACGTATAGCTTTAGACATCGAAAACCCATGGCTTTCACAATGTTTTTTAATAACTAGATACGAATAATTTTCTTCGGAAAGAACACAAACACAGCTTTCCATCCATTGTTTCTTTAAAAGCGACATATTGCGTGAAAACAAAACTGTCAAGTAGCAGACGATAGTTCATACTTTCAAAAAGATTGTATAAAACTTGTTACGTTTATGATAACGAATTCACGATTCTGTTTTTCGGAATGCAAATAATTTTATTTCCATGTAGACAAAGTTATTACATACCACTATACACAAAACGAGAATAAAAGAAAAACAAAAAAAAAAAAAAAAAATCCAAATAAATCAAAAAAACTATAATATTACTATAAATAAGAAACAAAAAAAAATTTACTTACATATACAGGTCACATTATATCAATAATTTCTTAATACCAAGAAAATTTTTTCTGAAACTATAGAAAAACAAAACATTTAAATTAACATTTCTCAAGATCACCACAAATCATTACACCAAGGAAAATAATAAAATGAACAAATGAAAACATTATGAAAAAGAACATTTTTTTTTTCATCATCAGTTTATCAGTCATTCAGTCCTATTTTTTGACCAGTCACTGATTATTGCAATTACTGATATCATCAATTTCTAAATTGTACAATAGCTGCACTGGACGTTTGATTACCGAATTACCAGTTTTCACTTCACACGATCTGATCATTCCATCTCTACCAATAAAGGTTTTGGTTATTCTTCCTAATTTCCACCAGCTTCTAGGTAAATTTTCATCATCATGAACAAGTACTATATCATTTACGTTGAATGCAGATGGTTTCTTCTGACCGGTATAATGAGCAGATCTCAAGCACAGGAGATATTCTTTTTTCCATCTGTTCCAAAAGTGATTTATTAGATTTTCTCGTGTACGGAAACGTTTTAACATTACTTCTCTGGAACCTGGTAAATTCAAGTCATTCCTCCTTACAGCTGGCAAACTCAAGAGTCGTTTACCAATCAACAGGTGGGCTGGAGTAAGTGCGGAGGGCTCTTCAAGATCAGAAAAGACGTATGTTAATGGACGCGAGTTTATCATCGCTTCTATTTCAAGCAAAAGCGTTTCTAATTCACTTTGAGTCAAAGATGATTTCCCAATGTTCTTTCTTAAACTAGTTTTTACACTGCGAACTAAACGTTCATAAAAACCGCCCCACCAGGCAGCACGTTCCACAATGTATTTCCATGTGATTCCATGCGAAGCATAAAATTTTTTAACTTCAGGGTGGTTAATCACTTTCCACATTTGCTTTAATTCAAGTTCGGCTCTTTTAAATGTTCTAGCATTGTCCGAGTACACAGTGGAACACAAACCTCTTCGGGATACGAACCTGCGGAACGCAAGTAAAAATTCTTCAGTGCTCATGCCTTTTACGAGCTCAAGGTGAATAGCTCTTGTAGTAGCGCAAGTAAACAATAAAATGTAGTATTTGTTGTCATTTTCTTTTACATACAAAGGACCTGCAAAATCGAGTCCACAAATTGCGAAAGGTGGAGATTCATTAACTCTATCCGCTGGAAGAGGTGCAGTGATTTGTTGTCCAGGACGTACATTATATTTTTTGCATATTAAGCATTTACTCAGGATTGATTTGACGTATTGTTTTCCTCTTAAGAGCCAGAATTTTTCACGTATATGCACTAGAGTATCCGATACACCCCGCATGATAAACCTTTTCATGAGCGTCTCGTACTACTAATTCACTTAATTTATGTTTTGAAGGGATTACTATTGGATGTTTGTTGTTAAATAGTAGGTTTGACTTTTGTAACCGACCTCGTACCAAAAGTAGACCTTCATCTGATAATATGGGATTTAATTCGAACAATTTTGAATCTTTTGGAATATGCTTGTTTTCTCTTAGAGACTCTATAACTTCAGGAAAACTATCTTCTTGAGCTTGTTTTAACCAAAAGGTTTCAGATTTACTGATTTCTTCTGCTGAAATTTCCGACAAAATTTCTATTTTCCCTTTTTACTTTTAAATTTGATATAAATCTGAAAATCCAAGCAGTCACACACGATAAAGTTTTTTCAAGGAACTAAATTTTGTCAAATTCATGAGTGGAACATTTTCAGTTTTGTCTGTTTTGATCAAACACGCTAGGATAGCTTCCGATTTTCGAGATTCTTCTGATACATCATGTAATTTTGACGT